TGGAAGGTTTCAAAGATGTTTGGGATGCCCTGAGAGTGGACGTTGAGGGGACAATGTCCAGGAGTCCCAGACACATGGGTCTGGGCTAGAGGCTGGGCTGTGGGTGCCATGGAGCCAGAGGGGGCAGGCAGGAGAGGGGAGTGCCATGGCTGCCAAGGGAAGAGAATGTTCTGGGAGGGAAGGTGTCGTCACCCAGGAAGTCCAGCAAGATGGGGGCTGCCAAGGTCAGAGGAAGGAGAGGTCTAGCTTGATAAAAATGAAAGACCAGATCAGGAAGGTGGAGAATCTCTGAGTAACCAGCATGGCTAGATCCAGGTGTTGCACCGAGTTACTCAATCATCTTTGCTCCCTGCAGTTATAGCTCTGAGAGCTGCCAGATGTGTGGGCAGATTTCCTCCAGGGGCACTTCCTCTTAGCTGGACAGCAACTCCACTTACTATGGTACAAAGTCCCAGGGCCAATTCTGATTGGCCAGTTTGGGTCATGTGCCCATCCCTGAACCAACCACGGTGACTGGGTCATCAAGCATCCTGATTGGCTTGTTTGGGTTGGAGGCGGAGTCAAGTAATCCATAACCTGGTAAGTGGATGAAGACAAGGACAGTTTCACAAAGATAAGATGTCTGTAAGATGCTCCTTAGAATCAGGACAGTGGGATTATTGGGAAAGGTGACCAGCTTTCACGCATGGCTCAGAGTCTCAGAGTGTACACAGTGTTGACATCCCTCTCTCACCTCCCAGGTCTCAAGTTTGACATGAAATACATGAATTTCCGTGTGAAGGCCTGTAACAAGGCAGTTGCAGGCGAGTTCTCTGAGCCGGTGACCCTGGAGACACCAGGTGACTGGCTCCTGCCCCCACCTTACCCTCTGACTCCCTAGCTCCTCCCTCCCAGGGCCCCAGAGACCAATGTGTAATGAGAATCCTCTAATCAGGGTTCTGTGGCTTTTCTTGCCCTGGCTACCAGGAAGCTCAGAGCTCAGTCCACAGTGGCTTCCTTATCCTGAGTGCCTGGTATAACCCTGCTATTGTTCTTTGCTTCTAAAGTTGATCCCAGTACATCTGGATGGTTTTTATGGACACCCCCGCCACACACACACACACACACACACACACACACAGTCTCTCTTCCAAAAAATCAGTGAGTCCTCTGTAGAGTTGGGGATGGGCTATCAGTAGTGAAGACAGATTCCACAGCCTCCTATAGTGACACCTTTGCATGCCCTGCTAGGAAGTCCCTCTGCAGTCTAGCCTAACTCCCTCAAGCTGTAGCGCAGCCCCTTTCCTGGGGTTAATCCTCAGTGAAGGCACAGGGTAGTGCAATAGGCTTGAAAATGCCTCCAGACCTGAGAGACCTTTAGGCAACACCCCCTTGGCCCTCACCCCTCTGGCTGCATGTTCTGTTCCTTCTGCCATTTCCCGCCTTGTCTCTCTCGGTGTCTGCTTCTCTGTCTCTGTATCTGTCTCTCTCTGAGCCTTTGCCTGTTGGTCTCTCTGTCTCAGACTATGTCTCCTGTCTCCTTCTGTTCTGTGTCCCTGTCTGGGTCTGTCTTGGTCACTGTCTGTCTCTCTCTGTCTCTGTGTCTCTCCGGATTTCCCCATCTCTGTGACTCCCGTGTCTGCCTGGCCCCAGCGTTCATGTTCCGCCTGGATGCGTCCACATCCCACCAGAACCTGCGGGTGGATGACCTCTCCGTGGAGTGGGACGCTATGGGCGGGAAGGTGCAGGATATCAAGGCTCGCGAGAAAGATGGCAAGGGGCGGACGGCATCTCCCGTCAACTCTCCGGCCAGGTAGCCTGCCCCCTCCCCTCCCTGAGTCTCTGGTGGAGGAGATCAAGCTGGACTTGGCCACACAGAGGCCAGTGTGGTCAGAGTTGGGATGGAGGTGGGGACCTGGGGCTGGAGGAATCCAGAGAGTGAATAAGGCAAGAGGAGATTTTGAATGGGGTTTTGACGGTTGCATAGGAGTTTTCCAGATGAGAAAGGGTACAGGCATGTTCTGACATGAATATGAGGGGCTCAGTGTATAGAAAGAGCCAAAGGCTGTCAGAGACTGACCAAACATCCACAGTGGCTGGGGTGGACTAGGGAAGCCCTCCTATGGGGGAGGTGACAGCTGACCTGAGCCTTCCTCCTCCCTCCCCCACACAGAGGTACTGCATCTCCCAAGAGGATGCCCTCAGGTCGTGGGGGACGGGACCGTTTCACAGCTGAGTCCTACACGGTGCTGGGTAAGGAGGGGAAGAAGAAAGGGAGATGGGAGTTTGGGGCAGGGCCGCAGTGATGGAGGTGGAGGGAGAACTCCTTTGGCTGGAGAAACAGGCAGCCATCCGCAGAGCTTCTCTGGGCATGGTCCCAATAACACGTGATGTTCTGGCACTGAGGGAGTGGGCATATTGGGGGCTGATGGGTTGCTGTAGAAGCCAGAGCTTATGGCGCTAAGGAAGGAGGGTCTGGACTGAGAAGTGGCTGAGCAGGAGCTTGGGGGCAATTTCTGAGAGTCCGTGGAGTAGCTGGGATTTGCGGAGTAGCTGGGTTTCTGGAGCGAGGCAGGAGCGTGAGGAAGTGGCTTGCGGAGTGTGAAGGAGCCGGAGGGGGTAGCTGGTGGCTGAGGAGAAGCTGAGACAATAGGTAAGATCAGAGGAGGAGGTAGCACCGCAGGAATGACTGGATCTTGTGAAGGAGAAGCTGGCGTTCGTGGAGGAACTGGAGTTTAGGGGAATCGTTACTGTCTGGAAAAGAGCTGGAGAAAGAGGCTAAGGTATGAGAACGTCTGTAATGTCTAGGGAGGAGGAAGTTGGGGAGCAGCTGAGGTCTGGGGAGAAGCTAGGGTCTGAGATGAAGTTATGGTTCTATGGAGGATCTGGATATTCAGGGAGCACCTGGGAGTGGTGAGAGTTGGGGTTTGGGGAGAAAGCAGAGGAAGGTATGGGGGCTGTTTGGTGTTGCTGAGATTTGAGAGAGATATAGCTAGTCCTTGGGGCTAGGCAACTTGTGGTTGAGGGAGTAGCTGCGATCAGGGTGGAGTAGAACTGGAGGAGAAAACGTTAATATACAAGGGTCCATCTTGTATCTGAGGAGGAGCTGGGATATGGAGACGAGCTGTGAACTGGGGGGGGCAGGAGTGTGAAGAGAAGCTGCGTTGCGGGGAGCAGCTGAGGTGGCAGATCTGGGACCTGGGGAGGATCTCAGGGATCAGCTGAGATCTAGAGAGCATCTGGACTCTGGATGGCATTGAAGCCAAGGAACGTCACAACTCAGAGGGTACCTGGAGAGAGTAATTGAGGCTTGAGGAGTATCTGGACCCCAAGAGGAGCTGAGGCCTAGAGAGCAACTAGCTTGGGGAGTACCTAGGGGAACTCCGGGCCTCAGGAGTAGCTGCGGCATGGGAGAATCTTCCCTCCACCAGGAGTTGGGGTCTGGGTAGAATCTGAATTCAGAGAGCAACAGGAAGGAGTCACTGAGTCCTGGGGAGTAGCTGGACCCTGCCAGAACTGGGAATGAAAGGGAGTATCTAGACCCGAGGAGGACTTGAGACTGGGGGGGACACCATGAGTCTGCTGGTTTCAAGGGTTTGAGGATTATCTAGTTTCTGGGAAGAACTGAGGGGGATCAGAACATGGGCTGGAACTAGAGAAAGTTTCTAAGGCCTGGAAGTGTCTGAAAGAAGTAGCTTGGGTTTGTAGAGAATCTGAAAGGAGTAGCTGAGGCTTGCAGAGTTTCTGGGCTTAGCGAATCTCTAGAGGGAGTTGACAAAACCTAGGAAATACCTGGGGCCTTACGAGTATCTGGGGCAATAGCCGTGGCGTAGGGAGTATCTTGAGGGACTAGCTGGAGCCTGGGGAGTATCTGGGGAATAGCTGTGGTGTAGGGCGTACCTGGGAGAGGCTGCACCTTCGTGGAAGCGTGTCCGTGCCCTGGTTCTACCTAGTTCCCTCTGCCCACCCCGCCCCACAGGGGACACGCTGATCGATGGCGGGGAACACTACTGGGAGGTCCGCTACGAGCCGGACAGCAAGGCGTTCGGCGTGGGGGTGGCCTACCGCAGCCTGGGCCGCTTCGAGCAGCTGGGCAAGACGGCCTCATCCTGGTGCCTGCACGTCAACAACTGGCTGCAGGTCAGCTTCACGGCCAAGCACGCCAACAAGGTCAAGGTGCTGGACGCCCCCGTGCCCGACTGCCTGGGTGTGCACTGTGACTTCCACCAAGGTGTGACCCCCAAGCCCCAGCCACCGTCCCCAGCTGCCTCTGCTCGAGTCCCCTTCGCTTGTCCCCACCCTGCTTCTGACCGCTGCCCCCATCTCTCTGCCCCACCCCCGCCCCAGGCCTCCTGTCTTTCTACAACGCCCGCACCAAACAAGTGCTGCACACCTTCAAGGCCAAGTTCACGCAGCCGCTGCTGCCCGCCTTCACGGTGAGCCACCCCCCACGGCCCTGGGGTAGGAACGGGTGGCTCTGGGTGCTGGGCTTCGAGGCTGAGCCTCCCTGCTGCCCCGACTCTCCCCCAGGTGTGGTGCGGCAGCTTCCAGGTGAACACAGGCCTACAGGTGCCCAGCGCCGTGTGCTGCCTGCAGAAGCGGGGCAGTGCCACCAGCAGCTCCAACACCAGCCTCACCTAGGCCACCGAGCACCCGCCCACCCAGCTGGAGTGTTCAGAGGGACTGCCACCAGGCCTGGCGGCCTTAGCCGGGCATCCTCCTCTTACTTGCTGCTTGGAGCGTTAACTCCTGATAGGGGGTCGCCAACAGGGAGTGGGCACGAGGCGGGCCCTCCTCCCCCTCTCACCTCCTAATAAAGGTCTCACACTGGCCGGGCCGTGGTGCTGGTTCTTTGGGGCTGGGTGGTTGTGCCTGTTGCGTGGTGCTGGGACCTCAGTTTTCCTAGCTGTTAAATGGGCTTTTCTCGCAGGGCAAGGTGGTGGGTTTTGCTGAGCTGATAATCACTGGATCTGCGGACCCCTCACTCCCACCTCCCAGGCAAAGCCAAACACACGTGTGGGTCCTGGGGTCGCTTGAGTTTTAATCCCGGGAGACAGGAGCTGACTGCTGTGCCGTGTGCCCCGAGACTGGCCCGCTGGTCCCCCGGCTCGTCGGAATCACTGCTCCAGCGCCCGCCGCCGCCTCTGCAGCTTCTTCTGCAGCTCCGCGGTCACGTCCGCCAGCCCTGGGGGGTCAGCGCCTGAGATCCCCAGCCCCGGCCCTGACACCCCCAACATCCACCCAGGATGGGCTACAGATTTGCAGGGCCCAGTGCAAAAGGACAATGTGCTCAAAAGCATTAGGAATTTCAAGACGGTGACAGCAGGACATTAAACGCCAGGGCGCTTTGGAGTCTGGAGCCCTGGGTGACTGCATGGGTTGCACACCTGGGAAGCCTGCCCTGCATGGACCCCCAGACCCCGTACCTGCTGTGGCAGAGAAAGGCTGAGCTGAGCTGGCTGCCGGCTTCCTGGTGAGGCTGCTATTGAGGAGTTTGAGATCTGGAAGAGAGGGCAGATGAGGGCGGAGGCCAGCTGGCCATCAGATGGGACAGTGATTCGGGAGTAGGGACCCCTACCTGGCTTGGGTGCCGTGGGTGGCCTTGGAAGCTTTGCCTGAACTTTTGCCAACTTGGGCTTCGGGACAACTGGCCGACTAGGGGAAGGCACTGCGTGGACAAAGGTGTGGCATGTCACGTCCTGCTGTTAGCCTGCTCCCCGCGCCCCCAGCTCTCAGCAGCCCTGTCCCCCACCCACCGTCCTGGTTCTCATAGTCAGCAGCTGGGGCGTCTCCAATGGGCGTCACATAGTTCTCCTCCTGGCTTGGCACCGGGGGCAGGGGTGGTAACAGAGGCAGCTTGTCCTGGCTGGACAGAGGCAGGGACGCAGGAGGTGGCAGCTTGGGGCCACCTGCGGGGGGTGCAGGACCTGATGGGGAAAGGCAGTCACTGTCTGGACCCACGTGGTGCAGGGACACCTCAGGGTAGGTCTGTATGCTCGCTTGGATACATACGCGTTTCCCCATGCATGTGTGTGTCTGTGTATGTGCCCATTTATGAGTCTGTATTTATGTCTCCGCGTAGCATAAACATGTACACTGGTCGAATGTGCACGAGTTAAATATAGGTACCAGGTTCGTACACACAATGCCTATTGTGTGTGTGCACGACACTGCACGCCTGCTAAGGTACACGCTTGAGATCAGTGTGTTATGTGTGTGTATCTATAAATGTCCGATTTTGTGCTTGCGAACGGATGTGTCTGCATTTGTGTACGTGTGATTGTGGCTTAAGATAGGTATAGCTGTGCTACATAGGGTGTATATATGACTGGAATTGTGGGACATGTGTATTTCTGCAGGTGTGGAGTTGTAGTGTCTACACAGGTGGATGCGAGCTTCTGGTTTTGCAGGTGGACACAGTTCATGGAGCATTAAAATCCCTGGGGACCTTCTGCAAATATCCCCTCCTCCAGGAAGCCTTCCCCTGCTCTGACCTCCTCTTCTCTTCATTCTGGGCACCCCCCACCAAGTTTCTCCTCCACCCCAGGTCTGACCCCACAGGGATGACAACGTTTGTGTCTGGCTCTGTCTGCCCCCCTACCCCCAAACTGGGACCCCCTCCAGGGCTGGGGCTGGGTAATTTCTGTGTCTGCAACGCATTGGGGGAGGGGGTGTGGCTGCATGAGGGTTCTCTGTCACTCCTAACTCTGCCCCTGGCGCAGGGAGGGGGCGTCACCTGGGCCCAGGGCGGAGGGCACCACCCACACAGTCTCGCCGTTCTCTTTATCCGCTTCCACGTACCCTGGAACAGAGAGGGTGGCCTGGAGGGAGTGCAGCGGCCGGGGTGGCCCCAGGGTGTCCCTGTCTGGGCAGGGGCGGGGGTGAGCCGCAGACTGGGTCCCCCGAGCTCCCCGGAGCAGCACTCACCTAGCACCTTCTCGTAGTCCTCCTCCGGCAAGAAGGGCACCAGCGCTCCGTTGGTGTGCGTCACGAAATAGTTGACCACCGCGTCCAGCGAGGCGCAGGAGAACTGGGGGCAGATGGGAGCGCTGTCAGGGCCGCTGGGGCAGGGGCGCGGACCCGCCAGTGCTCCTCTGGGGACCCAGGCCCAACGCTCACCGGGTCCTCCACGTCGATCACGTACTTGGGGCCTTCCCGTTTCACCTTGTAGTGCCGGACCACGTGCGCCCTGCGCAGGCAGTGGGCGAGGGGCTGGCTCAGCTCAGAGAGCCCCTGGCCCCGATTCACTCCACCCCCAGGGGAAGACCTGCCCCTTATAGTGGCTCCACCGGCCGGCCCTGACTCCACCTTCTCCCTGGCCCCGCCGGTAACACTGGACTTTGTACAAGGAGAACTTAGTGTCCGGCTCTGACTCCACCCCCGGTGTGGCTCCGCCTCCAGAGCCCTCCCATTCATGGCCCGCCCCGGGAGTCCGGGCCATGACTCCACCCCCAGGGGCTGACTCCGCCCAAAGAGCTCATTCGCGCCCCTGGAATTGACTTCGTCCCTGCTCCAGACCCGGACCCTGCCCTAACCCCGGGGTCTGACTCCACCTATAGAGTGACCGCGCCCCTGCCCCAGGACAAAGGGGTCTGCAGCCCTGCCAGAGTTTACCTTCGCCCCCAGGCCTTGACCCACCCTCTGGGCGGGGCCAGCCTCGCGATCCCGCGCCCCCGGAGCTCTGGTCCCTCCCCCGGGCTCCTCCCCACTGTCGGAGCCAGCCCCGCCCTTGCCTCTGACCACGCCCCCGCACCCGGCCTCCTCCCACCCCGGGCTCTCAAACCGCGCGTGCGCACCCGTGGAGCCGCTGTCGAGTAGTGACCGACACCCCGTCGGTGCCGTCCCCGCTGGGTCGCAGCAGCAGGTTTCCGCACTCGGGGTAGCGCTCCAGGAGCAGCTGTGCCTCCAGCCGGCTCACCTTCAGGAAGCACCTGGTACAGGCCCCACCCCGCAGACCCAGCCTTGCTCTTCCGCCCGTAACCTCACCCCCGCCCCGCCCGACCCCATGCCCTAGCCCCGGGCCCGGGGGACCCTGCCCTGCTCCCCGGGCCTCGACCCCCAGAGCCCCAGCCCTGCCTTGTAGACACCAGGTCCTGTCCCCGGAGACCCAGCCCCGACCCCTAGGACTCTCCGCTGGAGAATCTGTCCCGCCTTCCAAACGCCTACCTGGACCTTTCCCTGGAAGCCCTGCCCCGCTCCCTAGGTATAGGACTGCACCCGAAAACCATGCTCCGCCCCTCAGGCAAAGGCCACGCCCCCAACACATAACCCCGCCCCCGGAGATCCAGCCATGCCTCCTGGCTCATAACCCCGCCCCTAGAGACCTGGCCCCGCCTTTGGGCACCTGGACCTGCCCCTAGACCCTGTCCTGTCTCTCAGCATGGGCCTTAAGCCCCGCCCCCAGCCCTAATACAGCCCAGCACTCACCCGAGACGCAACTCAGGGAGACCCAGCTCACTGCCCACCCTCAGCCACGCCCCTCCTGTCCCCACTGCAGCCCCTCGGGTCGGGGGGGGCACTCACGAGGGCGTCTCGAGCGCGCGGCGCGCCTCTTCTTTGGCCAGGGCCTCAGCCATCATGTACAGGTGTCCCGGCAGCAGGGTCAGATTGGAGGGGACACGGCGCTGAGGGGCGAATGAGGGACAGACAGCAGTGGCTGTGCCCATGTCGCAGAGCAGCAAACTGAGGCCACAGTGCGGAGGAGCCGCCAAGGGAACCTGGGGCTGAGGGCCTCCGGCAACGAGGGCTTTGAGAAACCGCAGAAATTGGAAAAAGAGGAGTTTGGTGATGGCGGGAGGGACAGAGCAGATGGGGTCTCAAACTCAGTGCCCTGCAGGGGCCAGGCGGGAAGCCAATGAGTGATAGAGAAATCAGGAGTGTAGACTAAAATGCCTGGTTTTTCAATGATGGCAGCTAGTTTAAAAAGTCTTAGCACTCTGGTGGTGAAACAGAGGATGTTTATGGGTGCAAGTGGCCCGCGGGCCGCCAGTTTGAGACCAGTGTGCTGCGCTGCAGAGGCTCTTCCGGAGAATGAAGGACGGAAAGAAAGAGGATTTCTGGGGAGGTCTGCTGGGGAGTGGGAGGGTGGGAGACTATTCCTACCTCCACCACCGTCAAGATGAAGCCTTTCCACATCTCCCGAGACTCCAGGCTCTCTACCTAGGGAGGGAAAGAAAGAACGAGTCGGTGTCCATGAGGCTCAGTCTACTCATCTGTGAAATGGGGCTGAGGAATTATAGTCCCTGTTTCCAAGGGCTGTTGTGAAGGTCCAGCGAGTCTGCAGTCATGTGGGATACGATTATTTTTAATGTGATTATATCAACATTTGAAAGACAAATCAGATCACACATCTCTGATGTTCTAACCCACTCTCCCATACCTCCCTCTTCCCTCAGGTTCAAAGCCCAAGTCCTCCCTATGGCCCACCAGGCCCTGCACAACCTGCTTGTCCCCTCTCTGCCCTACCCTCCTCCCTCTCCCCCTCCTCACTCTGCTCCAGCCACACAGGCCTCCTTCTGCCTCCAACACGCCATGCACAGTCCTGCCCCAGGGCCTTTGCATATGCTGTGCCTCTGCTGATGAGCACTCACATATATCTGAGGCCCAGAGATGTTGAGTGACTTGCCCAATGTCACCAGCCCAGTGGAAGAGTCCATGTGACTCCACATTCATGTGTGCTAATGATGAGCATGTCAGTGAGGGAGCATCTCCCACCAGCCCCAACAAGGTACCTACCTTGAACTTGATCTCCTGGTTGGAGAGGACCAGGCTGAAGTGGATTCCAGGGTCCCATGAGCTTCCTCTGGGAACCTCGTCCCTGAGCTTCACAAATGCCCCCAGGTTTAGCTTCTCCACATGCTGGAGTGCGGAAACAGAGGGTGTGAGCACCAGGCCCATGGCCCCCTAGACGACGTAGCCACTGCCCTGGCCACACCAATCTCTGCTTGGTCCTTGGGGTCAAGGGTGGGCCAGCTCCTGAGCCTCCATCCCCCTCCTTACCTGGAAGTCCCGATTGCTGTTGTAGAAATAGATGGTGAGGCCCTGGAGGCCTGCCCAGAACTTCTTGTAATCCTGGGGGCCAGAGGTGGAGAGAGAAGGAGGTGAGGTGGCAAATCCGGCACCTCCCCTATGCTCGCTCCTGCCTCAGGGCCTTTGCACTGGCTGTTCCATTCTGCCCCACTCTTCCCCCAGATCTTCACTTGGCTATCTTCATCACCTGCTTTGGGCTTCTGGTCAAGTGTTGCCTTTGTAGAGAGGCCTTCCTCACCCGAGGCCTGGCATCTGGGTATCTGTTTTCTCTGAGAAAGGATGGGGGACCCAGAGAAGCCTCCCAATCTATGGAGATGGGGGCTCCAGGAATAATTGGAACTAATTGGCTTTATGGTGTTCTGTCCACTCACCCATCCTGCTACCTATCCATCCATTCACCCATCCATCCATCCACCCATCCATCCATCCACCCATCCATCCATCCATCCACCCATCCATCCATCCACCCATCCATCCATCCATCCACCCATCCATCCATCCATCATCCATCCACCCATCCATCTGTCCATCCATTGATACTCACACAGCTACATACATGCATGTCACTAAATCTACTGAGGGACTACTATGTGCCAGCCCTCTCCAGGCAGTGGGAACGGAGCAATACACGATTAAACTCAGTATGGTCAGACCTGCTTCATCGTGCACCAGCTCCGTGCTGCTGGGCAAGTTATTGGAGCTCTCTGTGCCTCTGTTTCCCCAGTTATAAAACTGATGATAATAATGGTACCTCTATCATTATTATTATTATTATTTAGAGATGGGGTCTTGCTCTTGCTCAGGCCAGTCTTGAACTCCTGGCCTCAAGCAATCCTCCCACCTCGGCCTCCCAGAGTGCTGGGATTACAGGCGTGAGCCACCGGGCCCGGCCTATGGCACCTCTTTCAGAGGCTCTCGTGAGAATGAGACGGGTTCACACGTGTAAAACACCGGGGCCTGCAGTGACCAGGCCCCAACATGCAGAGCGTGACTGCAGCCCTAACCTACCTATTTCACAGGAGAGAAACTGAGGCCCAAAGGTGGAGACTCACTTGCATAAGGCCTGGGAGGTGCAGCGGGGATTCAAACCTGGGTCTCTTGAACTCTGGGGCCCATGATCTTTCTGAACGACCATGGTCCGCTGCCTCCAGAGCAGCGGTTGGTTGGGGAGGATTTGGACACGTGGAGGCAGAGGGAACAGCCACTCCAGGTGGAGGGAACTCCAGCGGCAGAGGCAGGGAGTGGGTGGTTTGGGCTGTATCAGAAAATGAATATGTCACCGGGTGGCTCACGCTGTGATTCCAGCACTGTGGGAGGCCAAGGCGGGAGGATCGCTTGAGGCCAGGAGTTCGAGACCAGCCTGAGTAAGAGCAAGACCCCATCTCTACAAAAAAATTAAAAAATTATCCAGGCACAGTGGCATGCACCTGTAGTCTCAGCTACTCGGGAGGCTGAGGCAGGAAGATCCCTTGAGCCTAGGAGTTCGAGGCTGCAGTGAGCTATGATGACGCCACTGCACTCCAGCCTGGGCGACAGAGCAAGACCCCATCTCAAAAAAAAAAAAGAAAAGAAAAAGGATATGGGATGTGGGGAGGGAGAGAGGGGCCCTCAGGCTGGGACACACACACACACACACACACACACACACACAATGTGTCAGTCCCATGGTCAGTATCTGGTCCTGCCCCGGCCCCTGCCCCCCAGCTCTTACTGTCCCCACCTGGCACCTGTCCTGGCCCTGAACCCTGCCGCTAAGGTTCAGAGTTCCTTCTGGACTGCGAGGGGGAGGAGGGAAGGGAGTCAGCTGGCTCTGCATTTCCTGGAGGAAGTCCCTGATCTTGTTTGTATCCAAGAGAGAGAAAGGGAGAGGGAGACAGAGAGAAAGACTGAGACAGAGACAGGCAGAGGCACAGAGACAGGCAGAGGCACAGAGACAGGCAGAGACACAGGGAAAAAGAAAGAGAAAGCGATCAAGTTAGAGAAAAGCAGAGAGACACATAGAGACACAGAGAGAGACAGACCCACAGACAGCCAGAACCCTCCCCAGCCCTCAGGACGTGCCCTGCCCCGTCCAGCACCCACCCTGCCCCCTTAGCCAGTGGGTAAACCGAGGCTGGGAGCGGTGCCGCACCTGCCAGGGGTGGCCCAGCAGTACCCGGCTCCCTGCCCTGCCTTCCGCCTTACCAGGTCACAGGGCCCCTTCTTCTCCAGAAAGCTCTCATAGTAGTGTGACGGCAGGACACCCCTGGGCTTGGGGACCCGGGGTGGGTTCTGGGCCGAGGCCATGGCGGCCTCTAATTCCAGCGAGCTCCCGCTGGGCCAGGAAGCCCAGGAGGCTGAGAAACAGGTTCCAGGGGAATTTCCTCTCTTGTCAGCCGGTCCCCTCCCTTCACTGCCAGCGCTGGGCGGGGGCTGGGCCAGGCAGGTCCAGGGATCCTGGGGAAATCCCCGGCCTCTTTGTCACGGAGAGAGTGTTGCACCTGAGTGGTGAGGGGACGCCACTGGAGAAGACACAACAGGCCCTAAATGCCTGTTAGGCTGCCTGGGTGGAAGAATATTCTCGTCCAAACCTGCAGACATGTTGCTGGGGTTTTGCTGGGAATCGCCCTGAACCTGCATCTCAGTCGGGCAGACCTGCCATCCATGGACATGGTCTGTCTCTTCATTCACGTAAATTTTCTTTGATTTCTTTCATCGGTGTGCTGTAGTTTTCAGGATGCAATTCCTGTGCTCGTTTGGTAAGACACACATCTAAGTAGACATACATCTTTTTTGAAGCAATTGTAAATGGCATTGTATTTTTATTTCTAGTTTTTACATGTTCATCAGTAGCATGTAAACATTAGACATGCAGTTGATTTTTTTGTATGTCGATATTGTATCCTGCCACATTACGGAGCTCACTGATAAGTTCTAGGAGTGTTTTTTCTTTTTTTTTTCTACATTTCTTGGGGTTTTCTGTTATACATAGACCATTGTATCATCTGTAAGTAGGTCTAGTTTTTTGGGTTTTTTGTTTGTTTGTTTTTGAGACAAAGTCTTGCTCTGTTGCCCTGGCTAGAGGCAGTGGCATCAGCCTAGCTCACAGCAACCTTCAACTCCTGGGCTCAAGTGATCCTCCTGCCTCAGCCTCCCAAGTAGCTGGGACTATGGGCAAGCGCCACCACCATGCCTAGCTAATTTTTACATTTTTTTATAGAGATAGGGTCTTGCTATGTTGCCCAGGCTGGTCTTGAACTCCTGGCCTCAAGAGATCCTCCTGCCTTGGCCTCCCAAAGTGCTGGGATTACAGGCCAGTACAATGTTGAATAAGAGCAGTGAGAATGGACGTTCTTGCCATGTTCCCAATCATGGGGAGAAAACATCTAGATGTTAGCTAAAGGTTTTTAGTTTAGCTTAGTTTGTTTTACAATACATCCACGTAACAAAATCAATGTTCGTACCTATACGTTAGCAAGTTGAGGTACTTTTCTTCCATTCTTAGCTTGCTCAGAGTTCATCATGAATGAGTGTTGAATTTTGTCAACTGCTCCTTCCCCATCAGTTGTTAGGCTGGTGTCATTTTTCTCCCTTAGCCCGTGTATTAGTTTTCTACGGCTGCTGTAATAAGTTGTCACAAACTCAGAGGCTTGAAACAACACCAATGTATTATCTTACTGTCCTGTAGGTTAGAAGTCCTACAGGGATCTCGGGGGACAAAATCAAGGTGTTGGCAGGGCTGTGTCCCTTTCTGGAGGCTCTAAGGGAGAAACCACCTCCTCTGAGCCACGGTCCTCTTTCCTCATCTACAAAGCCAACGACGGTGGGTCCTTCAGCCACAAGTCCTCAAATCACGTCACCCTTTCTCCTGTATTCACTCCTCCGTCTCTTTTACTTTTATGGACCTCTATAATTGCATAGGGCCCACCGGGATAATCCGGGATAATCTCCCTATTTAAATGTCAGCTGACTAGCAACTTTAATCCCATCTGCCGCCTTAAATCCCTTTGCCATGTACCCTAACATATTCTCAGATCCTGAAGATTAGGACATGGACATCTTTAGGGGATCATTATTCTGCCTGTTAAACACGGTGGACGACATGGATTGATGTTTGAATACAGAACTAGCTCGTGTCCCTGGAATAGACCTCACTTGTCACGGTATAATTCATTTTATATATTGCTGAATTCTATTTCCTAATATTTTGGGAAGGATTTTTTTTGCATCTATTCATGAGGGATGTGGTCTGCAGTTACGTTGCTTGGTAATAATTCGCACATATCCAGCTCTTAACCCCCTGCGCCCCTAATGTCCATTCAGGCCCCTGTCTCCGACTGGGGCCAGGCCAAGCCACCCACGTGTGACCCCAGTGCATGTCGCCCCCCTCTGGCTTTGGGAAGTTCCCAGCCCGGGCTTTCAGCCCTGCCGGGGGCTGGGGGACTCCCAGCGTGACGCCTCGGGGGCGAAGGTCCCAGGACAGGGACAGGGGACAAAGGCCGGGGCTGCGCGGTGCACACGCGCCACCAGCCGGGCTCCGCCCCCTGCTCGGCCTGCGCGGCTCGGGGCGGGGAGCGGGACTAGACCGATAGGCGGTTCCTAAATCCGGAGCTGATTGGCTATCCTGCAACTGATTGGGTACATGCGACCCGACGCCTCCTGCTGATTGGCCATATGGAGACGGCTGCCCATTGGCTGACTTTGAGCGGGTGGAATGAGTCGTTTGCTATTGATTGGATGAGACGGGAACATAGCGGCTGCTACCGATTGGTTGAAGGTGAAATAAATGATCCTGCTATAATTGGCTGGCGGTCTCCGCTCTGGTCCAATCGTAGAATCAGTTGACCGCCGCCGGGGAGGGTAGACGTTAACCCTTTAGACACTGAGGCCGGCTTGGGCACTTTAGACCCGCCTTAGTCTGCGCGGAGCTGTTCCCCATTGCACCCTGCAGCGTTCCACGGACCTCAGTTTCTACCCTGGTCCCAACGGTCTAGGCCTCTGAGTTTCTCAAGAGCGGTAGCCGCGGACTTCGGGCCTCAGTTTCCCCGCCCCCGGGCTTCAACCTAACAGGTGGTGGCCCCAGGTGCAGCCACTGATCCTTGGAAAGCGGGGCCTCAGTTTCCTCGCTCGTACCAATGAGCTTGCAGTCACCACCCCCTTCCCATGGAGGGCGGCCTGCGGCCTCAGTTTCCCCGCTTATTCCAGCAGGCTAAGCCCCTGGCGTCCCTCAGCCCCAGGCTTCAACCTAACAGGTAGTGGCCGCAGGTGCAGCCACCGGTCCCTGGAAAGTGAGGCCTCGGTTGTACCAATGAGCTCCGGGTCATCACCGCCCTCCCATGGAGGGCGGCCTTGGGCCTGTTTCCCGAATGTTCCTGGAGGGCTGAGTTCCCAGTGTCCTCCCGACTGGGGCAGGCCCGAGGCCTCAGTTTCCCCGCTCGCCCCGAAGGGCGGAGCTCCCCATCCGCCCACCAATGGCCCGGGCGCCCATGGGGCGGGGCCGCGGTCACGTGCCGGGAAGAAAGCGCCGGCTGCGCACGGGGCGCGGGCGGCGCGGCCATGGCTGGTACGGCTGGGGGCGGGGGGCGCGGGAGTCCGGGC